GGATCCAAAATATACAATACATTGTGTGAAAGTGAAAGGGGAGGAACTGTCTAAAAAGGGAAGGCAGTGTCTATTGTTAATCTATTATCATGATGTGAAATCCACATTGTATTCATTGTTCTGCTTAGTTTGGTTTTATTCTGTTTCAGTTTGTCTACTTGTATTAGATTTGATGGCATGGACAGCTACTCCACAGATAGCAGGATACATTATGGTAACCATTTTTGATTTCCTATTAGCTTGATCTGAAGCCCTGTATTGCTTACATTGTTTTGTTTTGACTGATTTTATTCTATGCTGTTTTGTTTGATAACATCAAGTCTGCTGGTATAGGGAACTAATTTGAAGACAGTAAGATACACTGCAATACCCATTCTGGTTTGACTATTATCTTCTTTTCAAGTCCTATAACATCTCCAATGTTTTGTTTTTATTGGTTTGGTTCTGTCTTGTTTTGTTTAATTTTATTATGTCTGATGATATGGGCAATTCTTTTGAAGATAACAAGAGGCATTATGGTAGCTATTATTGATCTCCTTGGTTTTTTGTTTGTTTGTTTGTTTGTTTGGTACCAGGGATTGAACTCACGACTGCGTACTTACAAGGCAGGCGCTTATGCCACTGAGCTAAATCTCAGGCCTGTATTTTAAATCATGTACCATGTTGATCTTTTTGTTTTGATTGGGTCTATTTTGTTCAATCTCATTGGTTTTATTCTCTTCAAAAAAAATAGGAGCCCCACAAGGGTGGAAATGATATCTCATTTACTGCTGTTACCCCACTGCCAGTCTAGTCCTCAGTGCACAGAAGTTGGGTAACATTTGTGTGTTGAGTGAATGAATAAAATGAAAAGACTCAATCCTTATCCAAAAGACCAGGGCTTTCAACTTAATCCCCACAGGCAGGGATCAGTAAGTTGCTGGAGTGGACCTCAGTGGTTTCACATCCCCAGATTGGAGACCTAGAGTTATGGCTTATACTTAGATGCCCTCCCTGACAACTGAATACACCTAGGAGACACAAGCGTGCCTGTGCTTCCAGGTAACTCACTGCCAGGAACTTTGCTCATCTCATTCCAGGAGCAGCCCTTTGGAGAGGCCAGAGCTCAGAAGTGCTTCTTGGCGGATGGGCAAGCATGGGTAGATGCTGCCCGCCTGTTTTTCTCTTCAGCAAGTGCCCAGAATAGCTCCATTAGTGTTCATGGAAATACTGCACATGCGTCAAGAGGAAAACAGCTGCAAATAACACAGCCTGCTTCCCGAACCTCACGGACGTCTCTGCAATCATTCTGCTTTCCATCTATCACCACTGCAGCCTTGCAGCCAGACAGCAATTTGTTCTCAGCTTACTGTGGGTTCCAAAGTTAGCAGAACCCTTCAGCTGTTTCTGAGGCTTCTGACTTCCACTCTGTCTTGGCCCCAGCTTCTCTCCTCTGCCTGTTCACACTACGCTGAGAAGCCCCTGTCGGAAGCAGTCCAGAGGCCTTCCCCAGATGCTTGGCCCCTTCCAATCTGGTCCCCATCTTGGCCTTCCTCTCCAGCCACCCTCTTGCTTGTGTCCTCCCACCCTACTCACCTTCCAGTTATGTCTGCTTCTAGATCTTTCCATACTCTGCTTTCTCAGCAAGTCAAGCACCTCAGCTACCCAGTTACCGATTTCTCTTTAAAACGGCACACAGGCATTGCCTCCTCCAGGAAGCATTTCCTAACTAGATCAGATATTTCTATATGCCCACAGCCAGTTATTCAACTATGCAATAAATAGTTATGGAGACCTAGAGTCATGGCTTATATCTAGCTGCCCTCCCAAAGCCTCACAGTCACAGCTGGGGAGTTTCAGAGATGGTTGGATCAGGGTGTGTGAATGTGGACCAAGGGTATGATGTTGGGATGAAGGATGTGGATGATGGAGCCTAGGTGGATGTGACACCAACTGGTTTACAGCCTGGATGGGATGGAAAGGGAGGCTGGCTGCTTACTTCTTGCTGCTGTCTGCCTGCCATGCTACGAATGGCTTCTCCTCTGTGATGCCCCACTGTCACATCACCCTTTGGAACCAGTCGACTATGGACTGAAACCTCTACAAACGGTGAGCTAAATAAACCTTTAACTCATGGGTGTCAGATATTTTTTCTCAGCAAGACATCTAGCTTTTGCCAGGCTGTTCCAGGTGCTAGAAATATAGCAGGGAACAAAATAGAAAACCAAGATCTCTGCTTCCATGAAGCTTAAATTTTTAAATAGCACAATAATAAATGTGTCATCAGGCATATAGCTGAGTGGCACAGTGTCTGCCTGATAAGTGAGGTCATGAGTTTGATTCCTAGTACCAAAAAAAGGGGGGGGGGTGTCAAAGGGCAATAAGTACTCTGAAAAAAATAAAGCAAGGTAAAGTATTGGAGAATATTTAGAAGGAAGTGTTATTTTAATTAGGGTGGTCAGTAAAGGGTTTTCTGATAAGGGAAGGAAAGAACTGAATCAAATGAAGAAGGAGCATTGCAATCAGAGCAGGAAGTGCACAGGCCTTGAGGTAGATGTGTGCGTGGCACGTGTGGGAAATTGCAATGGAGTCCCTGGGACGATAGAGGTATAGGAGTGTTTGGGAATAACCAGGTGTGGTGATGCACGCCTATAATTAAAGCACTTGGGAGGCTGAGGCAGGAGGATTATTGCAAGTGTGAGACCAGCCTGGGCTACAACGTGAGCTCAAGGCCAGCCTGAATGGCCAGTGATATCCTGTCTTGAAAAAAAAAAAAGTTTGACAATGAGTTCAAAGAGGTAGTTAGGGGGTGGATATACCAGGCCTCATAGGATATGGTAAAGGTTTAGGATTTGTACTAAGTGCAAGAGAAGACACTGGATGGTTATAATCAGAAAAAAGAGATAGTTTGCCTTATATTTTAAAAGGCTATTTTGGGCTACTCTACAGATAACAGCTTAAGGAGAAATCACAAAGGGCACGGAATCTAGGCAATGCTAATTTTACCAGTGTTTATTGGTGACTCCTATACATCACCTCTGTTGTAAGCACTTGATGCCCAGCAACACTGGATCTCTGCCATCACAGAGGTTACAATCCAGTGGGGAGACAGAATCATATCCAAAACCATAGGACTTGAGCCTACATCTATAGGGCATCATGGCAGACAGGAAAGGAATTTAAGGTAGAGTTGCATTCTAGAAGGGCAAACAGCACAGGAACACAGTGAGTTATTTCAAGGAATCAGATGTGACAAAGAACTCTCAGAGGTCTATGAAAATGAAAGGCAGGGACTAAATGGAGGTGAGAATGGAGAAGGCACGGGCTGAGTCACAGACAGCTTATCAAACCAGCAGCGAAGCGCTTGCCTTCTGTCTTATAAGTGGGTGACAGGGATTCACAGACAGGTTCCCATGGAGGAGTGATAGTGATTTCCAGTTGTGGTGTCTCTGTCTGCAGTACAGAGAGGTGAGTTTAAAAGGGTAAGATTAGAGACAGAGGGACCAGTTAGGAGCCCGTGTAGTCATTTGGGCAAGACTAGAGGAAGTCCTGAAGTGACACTAGACATGGAGAAGAGGCAGGAGATTCTAAATGCATTTGAGTAGAACCAGAAAGACTTGATGGGCTGAGGGAGGAAGACGTGGGAGCGAGGCTGACCCCGCAGACTCCTACCTGGAGTGCCTGGACTGTGACGCTGTGAACTGAGGGAAGGCGTGTCACGGTGCAGATGTGCACACTTGACACTTATGGGACATCATCTGAGACTCAGGGGACACAGGTGGGCCACAGAGGTAGACTGGAATACAAGCACCAGTGCGTAAATGATGCTTGAAAGAGTGAGTGATGGGGTCATCTGGTGACGGGTAATCAAACAAACCTGGGTGCTGAATCTGAGATACGCTGTTCACTACTTGTGGTCTTATTACATCTTTCTGAGCCTCATTTTTCTCATTTTTCACTGGATATTTTCTTTTTGTAAAATATTACCACAGTGCCGGGTACGTGGTAAGTGCTCAGTTATTATTCCAGGTCCACTAGGAAAATGAACCAGCCCGTTGTGCTGCATGAGCCTGGGCACCGCCCGCAGTGACTGCCCACGCCACAAGGGCCAAGAAGTGGCTGAATTTGGGAATAAATGTGGAACACTGAAACAACAATATCCACTTAACAGATAAGAGCATTTAAAAGAATACGTATGTCTCCGTGTAAATACAGTAATATCTTGGTCCAGGAATGCCTGTTTACAAACCAAAGCATTTGGCAACATTTTGCTTTTGTTCCCAAACTCTGCATGAGGTGACACACACGATCACGGCCATCTGCCCCACACAAACACAGCTGCAGCCATCCTCTCCCCAGTCGTAAACAAAGTCAGTTGGTAACCCGAGGCACCATTTACCTCACCTGAGGAAAGGAGCACTTACAGGCACACAGCGCGAGCCCTTTTCCTCCCAGTGCGAGCCTTGCTTTCTGATGCATCTCTTCATTTTATTTTATTATTTTTTAAAATTTTATTTTAAAGAGAATAAAATAAAACAGAATAAAGCCAATCAGAACAAAACAATGAAAGTGATGCAGGACTTCAAAACAAGACAATACAAAAATCAAGCGTGGCTACCATAATGCCTCTTGTTATCTTCAAAATATCTGCCCAGGGCTGGGGATTTAGCTCAGCAGCATAAGTGCCTGCCTGGCAAGCACAAGGTTGTGAGTTCGATCCTTGGTTAAAAAAAAAAAAAAATGGTACAAAATAGCTGCCCATACCATCAGACATAATAAAATAGAACACGATAAAACCAATCAAAACAAAACAATGAAAGTAATACAGAACTTCATCTCTTAATTTTAAATTATCCCCTTCCACTGCTTCCCTCCTCTTAGACTCCAACATACTCTAGTTTCCCCTAATCAAAAAGCCTTCCTTGGGTCTTGTCACTGTCTTCAAAGTTTTACCCATCCTTCCTTAATTTCACCCACTGTACCCTTTCTCAATGTGAAATACTTTCAGTGAAGAAACCACATTTTGCTTCAAAATACAAGTCTCAGTTTATTACTTTTTAAAAAAGCAAATAGCATTTATGTAATTGATTCAGCAGACCTGTACAAAAGTATTTCATTTTAAACAAAAGTATTTCATTTTAAGGTAAGTATGAATGTGTGAATTTTTTCCTACTGCAGTAATTCATCGTGAGAAAAATTTCATTCTGTATCTTCCACAGAGCCCTAAGCTGAGAGCCCATGTATTCAAATAAAGCCTGAGATGTGGGAGGCTTCGGGCCAGTTCCTCATTAGAAGCCTCAGCATGGGGGCTCGGGAGACAGGCGCAGAAGGTCTTCCAGGGAGGGCTGAAACGTTCAGATAAGTGAGTTCCGGAAAGCAGGGCTGGCCGGCTGGCTGCGGCAGCCTCACCCCTGGGGTAGAGCAAAGAGAACAGACAGGGAGTTCTGAGAGGCACCGGAGCTGTCTAAACTCAGGGGGATGGAACCAAGGGAGAGAGGCAGTAATTGAGTTTCAGTTACCTGCAGGGTGGTGAAATAAAGTGGTGACTTCATCTGCCTGACAGGGGAGGTTTAGAGGTGTCCCTGGCATACACACAGTGAAATGTGTCACCCTTTCACTGTGCTGGGCGGTGGCACCCGGACAGCACTTTCCAGTGACAGCCAGTGCACGTCCTGTTGGGCAGTGCCGCACACAGTGACTAATGAAGCTCGCTCCCACAGTCCTGTCCCCCAGGGTCCCCGAATCCTGCCTGCAGGCAAGGCATCATGGGAAAACCTAGCAAGCCAAACCAGCCATCACCCAGACTCAAAGGAGCCTTTGAATGCAGAGAGGGGCCCGTTTTCTTCTCTGCCCAGCCCAGGGTTGGAACCGTCCTCAGGTCACTTTTTGTGGGTCTGTACAAACGTGCTGATTGGCAGCAAGCCATTCTTCACCTGGTCCTGGATTTCAACTTGGTGCTTTAATGTGAAGACCAGAGCTCTCACCGTACGCCGGTAAGGCCCATTAATGAGGCGGGAACAGAGATGAAACGTTTCCCGCTCAATATTTTCAACCAGTAGGTGATCCATCTAAAAAACAGCAAAATTATCAAATTAGGACCTTGCATTGCATAAGGATTAAAAGCAAGAGAGGATGGAGCTCTCTGCTCCAAGGCCTCCATTAATCAACTGAAATTCAAGGACATCTACTTCCTGTCACAAGAGAAACAGGAAGAGCAAATTAATTCCACCCTGGCAATTAAGGAACAAGGCCATGTGCTTTGTGACAGGGACCTCATTCACAACCCCTGCCGGGTGGTAATATTTGCCATTATAACAGGAAACTGGCCTGAACTAAGCGATGGGTACTGGGCCCTGTGCTTTACCAACCAGGAAACAAAGTCCAAGGATAATAAATCAGTATAACAGTTCATACTTCTTTTTGTTTTTTAAAGTGCCTTTAACCCCTTACAGGATTTTTAAAATACTGAGCCTGAATCCTAATATGTATACAGGACAGTTTATAAATCAATTTTTGCATTTAATGCTCATAATGCTTATTATCACATTTTACACATAAGGAAAAGGTTCAAAGGTAAAAGGTCAAGGTCTTGATTCCAGAGTTCATGCTTCACTCTAACAGCCCCCTCAACATTCTGAAAGCCTGGCTGGACCTGGCCAGACCCCTGCAGATTCAGCAAAGCAGCCTGAGGGGATAGGACCTGTAGCAGTTCTAGGGGGCTCAAGCCATCCTGAGATCGAGGACCTAGGACAGGGTCAGGGACTCTGCCCACCAGGTCTGCAGCCTGGCCAGCTTGGGCTGCTGGTCAGGGTCTCCCAGGCCTACCTGCCACCTTCCAGCCTTGACCAATGCCCCACCTAAGCCTCAAGCTGCTTTTGCACTCCACTAGCCTCTCTGCAGGGAAGATGTACCCTTAGAACAGCACACTGTGTACTAGGAAACACACTCCTGTATTTATGTGTAAGGCTCAGCATAGACACGCGCGCACACACACACACCTTAGCACAAAGACTTCAAAGTTCTTCAAACTGCCAAAGTGTGCTGAGCTCCCCTGGCCATTATCATATGTTAAAATGATCTGCAGTTTGTCTCACCTCGCACTAAGTCCTTTGAAAACAAAACCAAATTTCCCTGTTTGCTCCTCATGCCATCCCCACCTGCTAGGCATATTGATGAGTGCCAGGCTCCATGCTGGGGCTGAGGGGTGAGTGCTGATGAGGGTAGGCTCAGCACTAGAACCTGAGGAGAATACAGCTGAATGGGTGCTAAGTGTGAGAAAGGACAGAGGAACGAGCGCCGCCGGGAGCACAAGGAAGCCACAGGGTAGCATGGGGCTCAGGAGAAAATGACAGTTGTCATGGGAGCTGGAGAAGCAGCAGAACCTGGTCGGGTGACATGGGTGTTTGCTTTGTGGTAAATTCACCGAGCTAGACACATACTGTTCTGTACGTGCCCTATGCTTCTATGTAAAAAGCAAAGGTCAAAACTAGAAATGAAAAAGGTCACCTGAAATTTGAAAACTCATCCTGAACACAAGAGATTGATACAAAGACCAAAAGGAAGTGGGAAAGGAGACTGTAAGGATACAAGGGCCAAGCAGAAAGCAGAATAGCATAGAGAGAGACAGAGACAGAGAGAGAGAACCTGAATACACAAGGATGATCAAAACACACAGTGAGTATTAAAAGTCTGTAAAAACACATTGCCATTAATCCTTATCAACCCCCCACCCGCAAGATTGGAACCTGCTTGCCAACCTATCATCCTTGTACCTTCTGAAGCAGTTCTGAAAGTCACCCTGAGTGTCTTGACAAGATGTGACCAAAGCTACTCTGCGTGCTGCTGTCGAGTGGCACCCAGTGAAAAGATGAGCTCAGGAAGACATCTCGCTGTGTCCCCATCTACCTTACTCACTGGTCCTGGCAACCTGAGACTTTTAGCTCTTCCCCAAAGTCAAAGTGATCATGACACGTAAATGTTTTGAATTGATTCAGGATATTGAGGCAGCCACAATTGCACAAAGACACTCACAAAACAGGATTTCGGAATTACTTTCACATGGTGAGAATGATGGCGTGAGTGTGAAGTATGCATGTGGATATTTGGAGGGGAATTAATGGCAATGTGTCTTCATTATAATACTTCAAAAAATTTGAACATTTACCATCTATTTCTATCCTACTGCATATCACACATATCTGCCTAGGCTAGCAGACAAAAGATGTTTCTGTAAGTTCAAAATGGCTGGCTGATCATCTCCTAGGCCTGTCCAGAAGGAAGTGGACCGGGCACCGCAGCTTTCTAGAATCCAGATTCCTCAAGTTTCCAAAGCTTCCTGAGCAGACACTGAGCTAGTAACAGGCTTGAGGCAGCCCTGGTACCAGACAACCTACGAAAGCTGGAGAGGTTGCTGGCTGGCCACGCCACTTTGCCCCACAGCACTTGCCAGAGAGGTTCCTCAGCCCACTATGAGGCTGGTTACTATTTCCAGATTTAGTATAACAGGCAAGAAAATGTCTGTCTCTTTATGAGGGGAGTGCTACTAAAGGAAGAAGGGTATATGTGTCTTTTATAACAATTTGTAGCCATTCTATCAATTTTAGTATTAAAGAAACAGGATTCACATAAATGGATAGTCCTACATCGCCAGTTAGCAAATTGAGCTGCTATTCCAAGTCTGCTATTCCAGGTCTGCAAGACCTGACTCATCCCATCCAGGAACTCAAAGCCTTGAGAGGAGATGGTGTCTACACATACAACTGGGGGCAAGGCTGGGTATGGTGGCGGCCCACAATTGAAATCCCAGCACTCAGGAGGCTGAGGCAGGAGGATCGCTGTGAGTTCAAGGCCAGCCTGGGCTACAAAGTGAGATCAAGGGCAGCCTGAAATGCATAGTGAAATCTTGTTTCAAAAAGACAACAACAACAACAAAAATGTGGGGGCAATGTGACAGGTACTACCCATGTGCAACAGAAGTAGGAAGCATCTAGCACTTCTCATGCATGTCTCTTGACTGTTTTAGACAAAGTCTTGCTGTATAGTTCAGGCTGGCCTTGAACTCACTATGGAATGTAGGTTGGCCTTGAACTCACGGGCAACCCTCCTGCCTCAGCTTCCTGAGTGCTGGGATTACAGAGAAGTGCCACCTTCCCTGGTTTGCATGCCTTTTGCTAAATGAAGGCCAATCAGAATGAAAAAATGAGGAAAAATATCTGTGGCATTGAAGTATAAATCACAAAAGAAAACGATTCATTACGCAGTCATGTATGACAAGCTCACAAAGTGAAGAATGCTTCTCTTGTAACCCAAACCTGCCCAATTGGTAAGTCCTTCCCAAGAACCCTATCTTGGTAAAGAAGAACTCATGATCACCTTGAGAAAAAATACATTTTGCTAGAGACACATCTGTGTGAATGAGAATGCAAAGAGACTCGGGATTCCGAGGCTGGCCCTTTCCTGTGGCCCCGTGACTTGCTTGGCCTCTTTCTCACGGGCTCCTGCTCCGCAGCCTGTGCCTTACTCACCACCAACCCTGCCTGCCTGCTCTCCTGGTCTACAATCTCTCTACCCACAAACCTTGCTTTCTCCCACCTCCTCCAAAACGCCTGTGCTTCCAACACCCACCCAGTTGCTCTCTTGGGATCGCCTAGTCCCCGTCTCACAGAGCGGGAATCTGAACTGCCTCCCATATGCATCTGTGCCTGTGTGTGACTGTGTGCGTTCCTCGGCTGCCCAATCCTGTCGGACTGGCTGCGGCTGGGGGAGAAGGGAAGCACAACCCCGAGGCTCTGCTTTCCTACAGGATGGCCTGGTGGGAAGGAGTGACATAACCAGTCGGGGCTGCCTGTCACAGCTGTACCTTCTTTAAACGCAGAGGAACACGGTCTTCATGTGTTTACCTCACTGCAGAGCTTCCCACGCTGCACTCTGACTCCTGTCTGCTTCTTCGGAAGGCTGCGAGGCCGGAGGCTTGACATCATACATTCATTTCTCAAACCCTGGCCCGGCCTGTGCGCATACTGGTGCACAGGAAGTGCTCAACCAACACCTGTCAAGGGAATGTCCTTTCGCCGCCTGTGCACTTCCCATCTTTCTTGCTCTTTCCATGTCGTGTAAATAGCAGTTAGAATATGAAGCCTAATCTCTTTCTTTTGGCAGTACTGAGTTGTGAGCACACTAGGATACCTTCTATCACTGAGCTGTATCTGCAGCCCTTTTAACTTTTATTTTGAAACAGGATATCACTAAATTGCCCAGGCTGGGCTTCACTTTGCAATCCTCTTGCTTCAGCCACCCAGGCAGCTGGGATTACAAGCATGTGCCGCCACACCCATTTTACTGTTTTTACTTTGTATACTTTCTATGTAGCAAAATTCTACCACCTTCTAAAGTTGAGTTCAGTTGTTCTCTCATCCACAACACTGTCCCAAATGCACACAGCGGATTTAACTGCTCCAAATTGTGTGTCTAAACCACCAGCTAGTACAACTATTTCAGACTGCCTCACATGTTTGTTAGTTATTTAAGGCTAAGCCAGGTGTAGTAAGCTTTCTTAAGGTAGGTGACACAACTCATTCGTGTCTGTGTTCTCCCCAGGAACCCAGTAGATCTCAATAAACACACGCTGAATTGAAAATTCCCTTGAAGCAAACTTTACACGGGTTTTCCCATAGCGTGACTGAATTTGTACTTATCTAACCATGCTTCTTTTTGACCACTTGAATACATTTACGAGAGAGTTGGTCAAAGCCAGGGGTGCAGTCTGAGGCCATTAAATAAAGAAAAAACTAACAGTCCCATTTGAGAATGTACCCCTGACCTGGATCTCATTAGCACCATCTGACAACCAACTGAGCCAACCAGCCCGTGTTTCATAACTCTTAATGATGCGGGCTCACTTTGAGAATCAGGTTCAGTTTTTTTAATGACATAATAGGAAAATGATCACAGACCGTGAGGTGGGAAGGAGAGTGCATAATGAGGAAGAGGAAGTAAGAGAATGACACCACAGGGAATGTTCATGTGAGCAAAGATCTAAAAGACAGGGAAGAACAAAGAAGACCCGGAAGGGAGGAAGTAAAGGGGAATGAAGCCCGGCTTTCAGCAACGGAGTTTTTATTCATCTATTCCATTATCCCAAGAACAAGGAAAGACTCCATGAATCTAGAAAGCAAGATCTGTAGGGTAATAAAGAGATGAACCTTTTGACTATGTGTATACTCTTCATCTGTAACTTTCACTATTAAAGGGAATAACCGAAACATATAACATAGAAATGTCTTTTTCTATAAAAAAATGTAATAAGTAGATTTGGTATTTGCAAAAACACATGCTAAGATCAAACCATAAAGGCTTTCAGTCATTGGGCCAATAGCTTACCCAATAGTTCACTACAGCCTGATAGAGTACATTTATGGAATCTGATGTCTGACTTGAATGTACTTGACATTGTTTACCATCAAAGGTTGGACACAGAGTTCAATGGTTCACTGATTTACTCTAATATGAAAATACCTCATGATGATAGGTCCTAGGGTTACCCTCATATAAAAATATTTATATTTGTATTTTGTGACATATCAAACCAAGAAATACTATCAAATGCTGTTTTATGAAAGAAAGATAAATTGATAGTTTTTTTTTTTTGCTGGCCAAGGAAGACCGCTAAACATTCATACATTTAATTTTTCAAATTTACTCTTTGACAACAAAATCATTTAGCTATGCTTAATCTGATATTTTTTAAATTATGCTAGAAAGCACTAACGAATGTATCACTTTTTTAACTTTGCTTTTAACAGTTGAGTGCTTATCACTTCATGTGCCATTTAAAAGATAATTAATGGATAAACTAAAAGGATAATTATTATGGAGTTTAATATAACAGGCAAACTGCTCATTAATCCTTACAAGTATAGCTTCGTTTTTATCATTTACTTAAAAAGATACCATGGGGAACTGGTATTTACCACTACATTAACTACAAATTACATATCTACACTGTATGTTTCTGCAATAATTTTGGTCTATTTCAAAAATAACCTGCATTGAAAATAGCAAGTCTGTTGGTTAATCAATGCTTTTAAAATACTTATAACCTCCATAGATTTTCCTCTCTTTCAATATTCATATCAAAGTTTCCTTTAGGGGAAGTTAAACCAACCTGTATTACAGCAATTCACTGCACAACCAAGTAGATATTAAAAACTATAAACATAGAACAATAAAATATACGGAAAAGGATATACAGAATACTTAAAATTACTCAAGATTCAGAGGACAACGTAAATGTAATTGTCAGTTTTCTACAATGTTATTTGCAGAATAATCAATAAAAATATTTTATGGAACATTTGGCATATAATCTGCTCTAAATAAATATTGGATAACGTAACTTGCCCCACATTCACTTCAAAAGCTCTAAGAATTTACCCAAAGAAGGATACACATCAATATATTAACCAGATTATGTCTGGATGTTAAGATCAATAATGATTTCTTTTTCTGCCTGAATTTTTTTCATTTTCTAGTCTAAGTTTTTATTTTTAAAAACCTGAAACTTTTCTTTGAAAAAATAAATAATAGAGCCAGGCATGGTGACACACACCTGTAGTCCCAGCACTCGGATGGCTGAATCCCCACACAGGATGGCTGTGAGTTCGAGGCCAGCCTGGGTTACACAGTAAGCACATAGCCAGCCTGAACAACATATGGAGAAAAACACCAAACAACAAAAGGAAAAAGTAATAATATACCACAAGTTCACTGGCTTATCTTTTTTGAATAAATAATTGGAATAGAAGGGTTAAATTTTTTTTGGAGAATGCAATTACTGATTAACACTGAAGCCAGATTTTTTTCTTCTTTTTTCCTTTCTTTCTTTCTTTCTTTTTTTTTTTTTTTAGACCGAATCTCATGTAATTCAGGCTGGCCATAAACTCATTATGTAACCTGGGCTGATCTCAAAATTGCAGCAATCCTCCTGCCTCAGTCTGTCAAATTCTGGGATTATAGGCATGTACTACCACACCCACATAAACCAGATTTCTGATTTCTTTTTTTTATTAAAAGTGTTGCTGCTGGGTATGGAGATAAGCCTGGCTCAAAAAGACCAAAAAGGTATTGCTATTTTTATTTATTGTGTTTTTGAGACAGGATCTCACTATGCAGTTCAGGCTGGCCCCGAGCTCACTTTGTAGCCCAGGCTGGGGTCGAACTTGCAATGATCCTTCTGCCTTAGCCTCCCAAGTGCTGGGAGTACAGGTGTGTACCACCATGCCTACCGGCATTGTTATTTTTTAATGGATATTTTAATACAGATACCATGGAACATCATGGAGACAGAAAAAAATACAGATCTTGTATGTATGATTTTCCAGTAAGCCTGTAAAATCTGTTGTTTGATGGTGATTAAGGTTATCATTAATGAGCAAAAGTGCTTCTTCCAGCATGTACACTTCAGATCACCAGTATCCCAACTGCTAGCTGTGAAGATGACAGGGAACCTGTCTATCCAATCAAGTGTATGCCTTAGAAATGAAAGCATGCATATTGACAAAGGAGGAGAAGTACAGCCTTTTCAACAGACAGCTCTGTATCACTGAAATTCCACATGGTCCATACCAAAATATTTATTTCAGAGGGAATGATAAGAATTTTAAATGTGGGCTGGGGATTTAGCTCAGCAGCATAAGCGCCTGCCTTGCCAGTGTGTGGTCACGAGTTTGATCCCAGGTACCGATTAAAAAAAAAAAGAATTTTAAATGTAAAAGAGCTAAGATTCAATAAATAGCTTCTAATCAGCAGGTACTGGATACCATTCATTTGTATAAATGGTTCTTTTAACTTTCCCAATAACCTTAGGTAATAAGAATTAAAATTCTCCTTTTGCAGATAAAGTCTCAGAAGAGTTAAGGAATTTGCTTATAAGGCTACAGAGCTTCTGCCCAGATATCACTAGTCCCAAAGTCCACACTACTGCAACACCATCTCCCAAAGGTTCACAAATCTAAATCCCTTAAGGAATAACCTATTAGAATAAGACAACAGCATTCAGTCTGTGAAAATTCATTATGCAACCATGAGGTTCATGCCAGCTGTGGAGGCAGGAGGCTGAGGCAGGATGCTCACCACAAATTCCAGGCCAAAAAAAAAAAAGAAAGAAAAAGGCTCATCTAATCAAAAGCCCCTGAAATCATATTCCCACCAGGACATTACCTTTAATTCCAAGGCTTCTGAGAGTAGTTTCCGGGCATTTTTCCTAAATGATTCTGTTTGGGGATCACTTCGGACTTCAATAGATGGTCTATCTAAATGTTTTTCAATGAAAGTTTTCCACTCTGTATAAACTTCTTTGGCAAGACAAGCCACCTCTGAATCTGAGTGCTTACACATCTTCTTCACCGTGAAACCTAGAACAAGAGGAAATTAACGGAAAGATAGTTGTGTCTTCTGAAAGCACAGGACTAGATGGGCTGATGTGTGGGACTGAGACTCATTCATACCCCCCAGGATGCGAAGCTCTTGTGCAAATGAAATCCGTTTCACAGAAGTTAAGCGATGATGATCACTAGGAGAGAATCAGACTCACCAATACAGTAATCAAAAACTAAAGGCGCTGTCAATAGAATCTTAAAAAGAACAGCACTGAAAACAAAACAAAACAGAACTAAGGTTCCTATTCCTTACTGCAAAAAGTGAAATAAAAGAAAGTCAAATAAGCATTTATATATTTTTTGGTACATATTATATTTCAAGAACACAGAATAACCCTAGTTATTAAAGGGTTCATCATGAGCGGATGAAGTCAAACTGGCTGGTAAGTTTATAATGGAGGTAGACCCACCATCACCTGCACCCACTGACCAACGTTGGCGTCCCCATGGGGCTGTGAGGCAGGCGTACTTGACAGCCCTGCCCAGGAGCAGTCCCACAGCCAACCCTAAAAGACCAAATGAACCACAGTCCAATTAGCCCCTCAAAACTACCTTTCAATTTATAGGAAATATGAGAGACAGAGGAGAAGGGGAATTACAGTGTGAAGAAACAGTATTCAGAATGTGGGCCACTCTACAGGACAGGCACAGTTTCTGTAACAGTCAGTGGCATTGTTTAAAAAGGGAGACGGCGTTAGAAGTTACTATGGATTAAGAGTCTTCTGAGTCCAGGGGCTGGGGATTTAGCTCAGCGGCATAAGCACCTGCCTTGCAAGCAGGCGGTCGTGAGTTCAATCCCTGGTACCGATAAAAAGTTAAGAGTCTTCTGAGTCCAGACTACCAAATGTGATATGTGATTCAAATCCCAACTGGAGCAAACCAACTGTTAAAAAGATATTTTTAGATAAACAAGAAATATGAATATATACTATATATTAAATTATGCCAAGGAATTATTTTTAATCACAAAAATGGCATAGTAGTTACCTAAGAAAATATCTATAGTTTTTAGAGATGCATACATAATTATGCATAGCTGGAATAACAAAAGGTCTGAGATTTGGCTTTAAAATATTCCAGCAAACCCAATAAAAGCAAAAAACAGAAAGATGAAGTGTGGTGGGGAAGGACATATTCCAGGTTGTTATAGCATTCACTTTATTTTTGTGTATGTTTGAGATTATCATAATAAAAATGGCAAAAGGGGGAAATCTAAAAAATTTCAATATGCCAAAGTACCTATATAAAAATAAATACTGCCTGGCTCATGCGTGTAATCCCAGTACTTGGGAGGCTGAGGCAGGAGAATCTTTGGGAGTTCAAGACCAGCCTGGGCTACAAAGTGAACTCAAGGCCAGCCTGAATTGCAGAGAGAGATCCTGTCCCAAAAAGACAAAAATAAATAAATAAATACCTAGAACTGCTACAGAAACCAACTAAACTGACTTAGAATTAAAAGTTAAAAAAAAAAAACAGATGAATATGAGATAGATATATGTTTAAAAATCAGTAACTTTCTACTTAGGAAATAACCAGTTAGAATGTACGAGGGAAAAGTCCTGCCTAAACTAGTCAACAGCCTGCACGTGGTAGCAAGAGCCAGCATGCTACCTGCATCTGCCTGCGCCTCAGCAGCTCAGGGTCTTCACCTGCAGCTCTGTCCCTAAAGCCACTGCCATGGCCTCCAGGTGACACTGAGGCCCCTACCTGGCTTCCTTGGCTAAATCTGCCACCCCTCAATGTCATCTTTACATGCAGCTGGAAGGGCCTTTATTCTCTCTTTTAGGGACTTCTTAAATAAATCAGGCCATGTTATCTTACACTTAATCCTTCACTCTACATCCAAGTTCCTTGGCACAGGGCCTTCACAATCTGCACCCTTATCTCCCAGCTTCCTTTCAACTGCTACTGCATGTTCAGCCTACACCTCAGCTACTTGTAGCTCCTAAAATTCTTGAATACTTTTCCTCATCTCTTTACCTCTGAGCACACGTCCCAGTGAACATTCTGCCAGCCTAAAATATGCTTTCTTCACACCTCGCTACCTTCCATTCAGCCTAGACGACTCATGCATCCCCTCCTCCAGGAAGGCTTCCTTAATACTCCCAGTTTTGCTTGCGTGATACTTCCTGAGCACCTTGTGCTTCTGCAAGCCCCAGCAATTATGAGAGTGAGTTATAATTACCTGACCAGTCACCTCTTCTGCTCTAGGTGTAGCTTCTTGAGGGAGAGTGGTGTGATATGTTCATCTTTGTGTCTCCCACAACCAGCAGAGTGGCAGGAGACAGGAATCAAACACTTAGGCAGGGTGAGTGAGAAACCCAGAGAAAGAACAGTATCTATTCTTACTGAAATACCTACAGAAGTTTTGGATAAAAGAGGCAAACAGAGCCACCACTGAGGCACGTGCCCATAATCCCATCTGCTCTGGACACTGAGGCTGATGGTTTGCAGGCTCAAGGCCAGTCCAGGCAGTCTCAAAATAAAAAGAGCTGGGGATGTAGTTCACTTGCAGAATACTTCTATGTTCAATGCCCAATACTGGAAAAAAAACAAACACAAAATCAACAAAGTAAAAAAAAAAAAGGAAGGAGTAAATATATCATGTGAGATGGAAATATAAGTGCAAAAAGTCTAGAAATTAATTTGCAGCCTTGATATAATCTCAATTTTAAAATGTTAATATGCTGTTTCATTAGGATACAACCAAATATTTCTAAATCTATCCTAGAACTATGATTGTGCGAGAATATAAAATAAAAATATAAAATGCTGTTGGTTACTGTGGTAAATGACAAAAATACAAAGGTGGGGGTGAGGGTTCAGATCAGTGATAGAATGTATGTTTAGTATATTCAAGGCCCTGGTTTTAACCCCTAGCACCCGCCAAACATTTTAAATAAAAAATTTAAAAACACAAAGTTAAATAAGATATTGTGGGACTCCAGAGACCTAAAATTAGAGCCTTGTAATAGTCTTACTGAGCACCTACTTTATGCCTGGTGGGGAGGACTAGTAGGACACAATTCTTGTACAGGGGCTACGTGTAACTCTGCAATCATGCAAAGACAACATGTGCACAAAACATTCACACCAGCAATGGCTAAGATTGTGAAAAGCTCATCATTAAGGATCTAATTTGTTAAAAACAATTACAGTCCATTTAAACATAACTACTTTGCAGTCATTAAAAACTGAAATAGCTCTCCTTACAGTAACATGAAAAACATGACCATTCAGTTAAGGAAAAAAAGCAGGTCCCAAAAGACCATGCACAGTATGAGCCAATATTTATTTTTAAAGTCACATATGTATATACATATAAACACCATATTTGTTTATATGTGGAGAAAAAAAAGTCTTGAAGAATTCACAATAAATTTATTAAGAGCTCTCCACTGAGCAGGACGACTCCGGATCCACAGCTACATGAGCTGAGACAGAGGTGCTTCCAGGTTTTTCTGGAACAGAGGTCCTTCCCATCAGGTGCTCTCTGCCTAATCCTTTCTTCTTTCCAGACAGAGGCTACTGACACAGCTTTCTGGCTGAGCAATGAAGATACAGAAACTCGCCCGAGCCCTCCTTAAGGAAGTCAGCGGACTGAGTGCTGAGATTACAGGCGTGCATCACCACGCCCAGCTTTCCACTGCTTCCTGACACACTAACTGTTACTGGCTCTCCTCTTCCTTCTGTCTTCTGTTGGCTGTTGTTCCTCTGCCCAGTCTTTCATTATCTGTGAGCTCGCCTGGACGCTGTCCTGGGTCTCCTTTCTCCTTCTTGCACCTGCCTTCCCCGGGTAATCTCACCCACCCCTTGACCCAGCCTCCACCTGGAAGTAGAAGGCCTCCACTATGTGTTTCTTGCAAAAGGTTCCCATTCTGCACAAGACCTCAATACCCAGGCTCTTACCAGCTCTCTCTCCCTCAGTCTTAAGCACCTCTAACTCAAGGGTTTCTTGTCACACAATGGCACCACCACTCATCCACCTTTCTACACTCTGCCCGTCCGCTCTTCCTTCTGTCCAGTCAACACTGCAAGTCATTCACACGCACTTCCTTACTCTCTGCGCCTCTCCTTCTTCCTCTCCTCTTCCTCTCCAGTCCCACTGCTCCAACCCAGCTTCTCGTGATCCCTCTACTATCTACTGCCACAGTTTACTAACCCATCTCTACACTGAAGTGAAACATGACCTTTTTAAGGCAATTTAATCACATCACACCCTTACCAATAATCCTTCATTGATCCAAGTTAATTTCTAAATACGGTGATACCTTGACGATTAAACAGCTCCAAGCTTAAACTTTCCCTTTTGAACAGCAAACTTCAAACAAAGACAGCCAGGTGTTGTAACTGTGCTCAGTAGTCAACCAAAAACCCAGTTTAAAAAACCTGTATGGGCTGAGAATGAGTCACACAACCAGTCTCTCCGTGGACACAGGGGTCAGTGTTTCTCTCACCCAGGCAACATACAGTGCTGCCCAGTGCATTTAAAACGTTACTTGTTGTGCTTTATTTGGTGTGTTATCCATTTGCATAAAATATCATAACCATAGCTCCAAAGAAAGTTAGTGATACCAGCTGTAAAGCCAAAAGAAAAACTGAGAACCACAACAGAGTTAAAATAGTCACTGAGAAATTTATTACTGTCCCAGAAAAGTGAACTTATCAGTGTAATTTTGGGGTCTCAGAACCAATTATTTGATTTTCCATTTTTTTAAAAAACCCATTATATTTCAAAGAAAAGAACAAAATTTCAAAACACATCAATCAGGGAGCAACAATGGAACACAGTGAACTGTCATCCCCAAATCACTGACCCAACACACAAGACATCTGAATTTAATTGTCCAAACAAAACTAGCACAAATCACTCTCTTCAGTGACCTCAGAGAAATCAGTAGTGTAAGAATTTTAACTATATTTTCCATACATATATACATATATTGTTTCTTTCAGCTTCTCACACTAGTGAGACA